TGCTGCTGGTGCCCTCCCCCTTCCTCCCAGATTTTAGGCTGAGAGGATTAGTTAGAGGGCTTCCCATGCATAGCTTCTCACACCCTCCCTCTTCTAGGCCCGAAGAGGGGGTAAACAAACTGCTAAACAGCTTGATGGATTGCTGTTTAAACAGTTTAACGACGCCAAGATTCGAGAGCTGTTAAGAATAACAACTCCCTGTCAGGCCCCACCCACCAGAAGCCAAGGAAGAATGTTCTAAAGGAGGTGCCATGGCAGGGAAGGCACATCTGGGAATTATTAAATGTAGGTCCCTAATCAAAAGAACCCACGACATGACTTCTCTGCCAGATCTAATGAGGTGGGCTGGTGTCATGGAGAGAGGTGGTCCCTCAAATTCCTTGAATGAATAGCAAAGAAATGTTATAATTCTGTGAGGTCCAAAACAATAGATGCTCTTGTTCTTCAAGCAGCCTTGCTTGTTAGTGTGCTTGCATGTACACTTCAAAGTGCTGATAGCCACATATAAAGCTCTTCGTGGCATTGGCCCTGGTTATCTGAGTGACTGCCAATCTTCAATAGTTTCTGTCCATTTAGATTGGGCATAGTAGAAAGAAAGCCATAGAGAGTCATTTTGGTCTAGTGTTGAAGAACCAGACTAGAAACCGGGAGATGGAGACTTTGGCCAATCTCCAGGAAATGATGAATTCCAATCTCGCTTTAGGCAAGAAAGTCAGCTGGGTGCCTTTGGGCCAGTCATACTCTCTCAGCCGAACTCATCTTATAGGGTTGTGATGGTGAAAAAATAGGGGAAGGAAGGGATATTGGGTATGTTTGCTATCTTGAGTTATTTATTAAAACGAATTAAAATATTAAAATAAAATAATAAATAGGCATGATCCAGGTCCATTTAATTAAAATCTTTCAGAATCTAGGAAATGTGCTGACATGGCACCTGCCCTCTGGAGGTGAATCCTCCAGAAGACTGTATAGCTCCCACCAGGTGATGTTCAAAAAGTTGCTAAAATCTTTCTGTTCTTTCAGTCCTTGAGTTAGGCAGTTGTTCAGACTTATTAAATGTTATTGAATTAATTATTGTTTTCTCATTGGGTTCATTCTGATTGTACTCTGGTCTATAGTCTTATGGAACTGGGTGGCCTTTAAATTGCACAAATAAATTTCAAAATAAATTATTGAAGCACACACAGTCCTCAAGATCCCTACAATAAATTTTGTTCAGAGGCATAAATCTGGTCATTTATCATGAACAGAAGATACTGAGCTTGCATCCAAGCTCAACTCAACAATCTGAGAAAAATCAATAAAGGAGTTTCCCTTCTACTGGCAGTATGTTCCTTTTTAGTTTCAAATGGAAGGAAGAGCTGACTAGTGACCAGGAACCATCTTTATTTTCTAGTTTCCTCTCTTACATTTCCTGGATGTTCGCCAACTGATTGACTTCATTGCAACATCAGATGCATTGGTCAATGTGACCACAATGAGGCATGTTCTTTCAACCCTAAAGAATAAACACTCTGAAATCTCTCTTGCTAAAATGGATGAATTCCTGACCAGGCTCAACTTGGCCATCGAACAGGTAATTTCTCAGAAAAATATGGAGAATATTTTGCAGGTAGCATCACATGCTTTCATGGATCCAACTGTAGGTCTTCAAGAGCAGTGGCAACTGAGTTCGTCCTTTATGCCTTCTCTCGTCTTCCTTTTTTCCCAGCAAGCTCTTATATGTAAGGAGCAAATTATTTTTGCTGGTTTTCTGGACTAATGTTTTGAGGGACACTTGGGAACATGGAAGTCTTCAGTTGCCGATCCCCATAATAAAATGTTAAATTTATCTTAAATGTGTTAGTTGGATGTGGTTTCCTTTTTAGATCAATAAACAATATTGAATGGAATGGCTGGTGGGGAAGACAGGGTAGGGCAGTGTATTTCAGTGCTGGGTAATGGGAAGGTTGCGGGGGGGGGTGCTCATGGGGATTGTGACCTTGATATTTTGTACTAGTCTCATGTTCCGCCTCCTCACACTCATCTCATTTATGTGGTCAGCAGATTTGAGGGGCCCAGGTTTTAGGCTGCTACTTTTAAATGCCAGATCAGCTTATAGTAAATTTGATCTCTCAGCAGCCTCCAGTAACATTAGTGACTATTCAAAATTACAACGGCACTGAAAAAAAGTGACTTTTTCACATTTACGACTTGCAGAATCCCCAGGGTCATTTGATCAAAATTTGGATGCGTGGCAAATGATTCATATTTATGACCCTTGTAGTGTCCTGAGATCATGTGATCAGCTTTTGCAATCTTCTGACAAACAAAATCATTGGGGAAGCCAGATTCACTTAACAACCATGTTACTAACTTAACAACTGCAATGATTCACTTAACAAATGTCTCACTTAGCAATATAAATGTTGGGATCAGTTGTGGTCACAAGCCAAGGACTAGAGTGGCTTTGGGAGTATGGAACTCTGGTAGTCCTGGTTCACTTCCTTCCTCTGATTGTTCTCAGTGGCTGTTGATAGGAAGTAAGAAGTCTGTCCTTTGTCCCCTGTTTTGTGGGATACTGTGGGGCTCAGTACTTTCTCCACTTCTTTTAACATTTCCATGAAGCTGCTGCGTGAGATCATCTGCCACTGTGGATTAAGATATCAAATATTTTGATGACACCTAGCGGTGTGTCTCAGCTCACAGTGAGTTAAATGATGCTGTGACCTCCCTCTCGCAGTGCTTGGAGAGGGAGGACTCCAGAGAGGGATGGAGCCATCAGATTGCACATTTGATTGTTGTTACCAGGGGTGGTGTATTTTTTATTGACTTTTTATTTTTTTATCTTTGTAAGCCACCCAAAATCACTGAGAGTGAGTTGGGCAGCCATACAAATTTCTATAAACCAACAAAAATATGCATCATATATATAGCAACTTGCATCAATTGCATTGTGGCATTATTATACAAACTATTGAGCTGATTATTGGAAATGTACATTGAACAAATAAAATTAAATTGGTACAAATGATACAATTTGCATACTTGCATAATGGCATCATCACATAAATATAATACAAATTGCTATGTTGACAGAATTTCATATTTAATAGCCATTTTTGAAGAATGGAAATCTCCCTGACTAGTTCATTAAATAAAAGTCTCCCTGTGCAGTTCGTCATTCAGTAAATCATTTTCATAGCAAACTTTGCTTTCCTAAAGATTTCTTGCATGCACGTTTTGCAAGCAAATTGTGTTGATGCCTGATCTTTGTTGCAAAATATAAATGAGTACTATCTAATTTAAAATATGGACTAAATGAATTTCCAGTACCCTGGAGATTCAGCCTAATGTGCACTCTCTGGTTTAGTGCATTCATCTAAGTGAAGAGCATTAGAATTTCTCTCTTTTCTTTCCTTCTTTTTGAATTTTTTTACAGAAGAACAGTCTGAGCCTCAGAAATGCTAAGGTGAAGCTGGAGCTACTGAGTACCATTTTGACAAACCTGGCACGCTATTTCTACAAATTCACAGCTTTAGACTATGAATCCTGGTTCTTGAATAAACTAAAATTCCTTCTGCCTAGCATTAATGTGAATTTGTTGCAGTTGATACCACTGGATGTCAGTTATTCTGCCTACAGAGCCATGTAAGTATTACCTTTCCTCCTCCAGCCCCATGCCCCCTCCCTAAGATCAATCTGCTCAAGCTTTATTTAATACATATCCCTCTGTATATTTAAACTCCAAGTTTCCTAGTGAGTTTGATAGATTGGCAAAAGATTTTGGCCCTTTATGTGGTCATAAAAGAATGAATTTGACCCTTCATGCGGCCAAATGTATCATTGTGGAATTTGCTGCAATAATATATTTGATGTAATATTTTTACTTTAATGTTACATGGTTTTGACCATGGTTCAGATTGCTCGTTCAAATCCTATGTCCCTGTAGAACTAACTTCTCCTCCGTGTCTTCTCCATATTGAACCTCAATCCACGTGAGCTATCCATGAATTAAGAGTACCTTTTGAAGCATGGGCTTTGCTATTTGCTTCCTTATCTAATTTAGATGTAGTTTCCCATTAGAGACTTTAGTTCTTCAATCTTCTTGTTTGCTTCCAAAGGCTGATCAAATATTGAACTGTTTGTGCTGTCAGGAGGCAAATCTTGGCAACCAAATCCAAGTCTCCTTTAAAATGGCTCGTAGTATTTTCCTTGTTTTGTCCTCTGTCTCCTAATGGAGCCTCATTTTCTAGAGAAAGACAATCATCCACCTCCCACTCCGGTAAGGAGCAGGGCTTATTTACTGAGGTTATGAGGGAGGAAGAACAAAAAAAGAAGATTTACTTGCAGTATCCATTATCTGAAACAAGTCTTTTATCTTTGGTTGTTGTAGAAATGACGAGACACAAGCCAGCACTTCAAAGAAGGAAAGGTTTATTTGCACAGGTTCAAAGCAAAGAATAAATGGCCTGAAGCCCGAGGGGATTTCAGGGACTTCCTTATATAGTGGTGATGATGTGCACACCACATCTAGCCATATTTGGTTACATTCAGTTACATTCAGAGATTTATGTTTTGGGGAACTAACAATATATGTCTGGTAAACAAGTCAGGGTCTGACAGGCGGATGCTATTTATTTAAGCTAGCCACCTTATGGTTGTTTGAGTGTCATTGCCACCATGTAGTGTTTAGGGTTTCCTTCTGACTGTATTTCCAATTTATGCCTCCTTTTAAATTTTCTTTTCAAAACCCTTTTTGCTTTTGCTGTTAGCTTTTGTTTCTGCATCCTTAGGTGGTTTAAGAGATTTTAAAACAGACTCCCATTGGGTCAATAGACACTAATAAGTTCCAGAACTCACAATCTAAAATCTAAATCTTATGTTTAAAAACCTAAAATTGCTACTTCTAATAAAAGAAAACTAACTTTACTAGTTTATAAATAATATTAGATAAAAATTAAACTACTTTACAACCATATAAAAGCAGTTATAATAAGGAGCTCACTAAAAGGCCTGTCATACGGCAGCCATCTTGCCTCCTCCAATAACTACCCAGAAATGTGCTCTTGGTGAACACAGGCAAAAGGAGAAACAGTTTGATCCAACATCTATTAATGTATGATTGATCTACAAGTAGTCCTCAACTTATGACCACAACTGAGCCCAAAATTTCTCTTGCTAAGCAAGAGTTGTTAAGTGATTTTTATCACATTTTACAATCTTTCTTGACACAATTATTAAGTGAATCATTGCGGTTGTTATGTGAATCTGGCTTCAGCATTGACTTTGCTTGTCAGAAGATCGCAAAAGTAACCACACGGCTATGGGATGTGAAGACCATCATAAAGATGAGTCAGTTGCCAAGCAACTGAAAAATGGTCATGTCACTTTTTTCAATGCTATTATAATTTTGAACGGTCACTAAATAAACTATTGTAAGTTGAGGATTACCTGTGTCTTAGATAAATTGATGAGGTTCTATATACAGGTTTCTATATGTAGAACGTTTTATACCAATTTTCCTTTAGGTTATAACGGTGTAAATTTAGTCCATAATCCTTTCCATTGTTGTGTTGTAATTGTTTCTTTAAAATTTTGCATCCATTTTATCATACAGTTTTGGTTTGGTTTATGTTTATTTATAGCATGTGTCTCACTAGGTGATGCTAGTTTTGCATTTGAGTTTCAAATACTGTTTTTTTCTTAATATCCCTTATTCCTTCCCAAGATCTGATTTTGCCCTTCTGTTTATTTGTAAATACATTGATCATAGTATTTTGCAACCTTCACTAAGTATTTCTATGTTTTTATTCTATTTGTAGAATCTGAAGGTAATCTACAATTACATTTATTTTACTGCAGTTAATTCCATGAAAAGTATTTGAAGGAGAAGCTGGAGGTGAAATTGTTAGGCTTATTATTCCCTTTGTGGAATTCTATACTTTTATCAACATTTTTCTAATAATATGTCCTTTTAAATTTTTATCCTCCTTTGTATCTCTGTACCATAAGCATCTCTGAAGGTTAATGACCTTCTATTATTCATATATTTTATCTACAGGCATCTTGTTGCATATAAACTTTAATATTTGGAAGGACAAGACCACCTCTCTCTTTAGAATCATATTCTCTAAGCTCTCTTTCACTACACATCAATTTGCCCACAGTTACTTGTCATTAAATATTTTTTTCTAAAGAGAAGTGCAATTTGTGAAATTTTGATGGACGGAAATGTGATGGTCTGCTCTTCTTACAATCTTTGTGTGGCTGTATGAGTGGGATGTCTTAATGTGAATTGTACAATTGACTGACTTCCTCACCTACATTTTTTCATCTGATTGCAGTTTTGGAGGCTTGGACCAGGTCTATCCTGAGTTATCTCAAGACATATCTCTCCAGATCTACAATTTGATGAAGGCTATGATGAAACTCCAGCTCAATGTCTCAGGTAATCATATGGAATTCAACGGAATAACCCTTTAGCAGTCAAGTTTCAGAGTCTTGCTGAAACAATCTGTTTCTAAGAGCCATTTTCTTATTTTCTCCTGTTTCTAGGAACAGTATTTCCTGGCAGTTACAACAGCAGCCAAGGTTTTCTGCAGCTAATGTTTTACAGATTTGCACATTTTGCTAGATACACTGACTTCCTCTTATTATATAAGGATTTTAATGGGGTAGGTAAAAGTAAGCAATCTTCAGAAACTATTTTTGGTAGCTCAGAAATACTGTATGTTGCTAGTCCGAAACAAATTGCCCTAGATGTTGATTAGCAACAGTACTTATTTTATTGCTTATTAAATGACATTGTTAATGTTCATTGTTAGAAAATGAAATGCCAGTTATTTCTCTAGACATTTATGGGATCAAACATTAACTAGGAATTATTAGATTAAAAATACAAATAGAAGAAAATGCCTCTCTAATTTCTTAAGACTGGACTTCTAGTGAATTTCTTTGATATCTTTGAAATTCTACCGTATAATTCTGTATATTTATTCTTTAAGTTCGAAGTCCTTTCCCTGCTATCCCCAAAGCAAATGGGAGAAATGATGATAGTTACTGATGCCTTCAAAGATGAATTCCTGGCTATACAGATATTGGTTGAATTGGAGAGACGGTTTTCTGTCTCTCTCATGGATTTTATGATTGAATTTAATGCTGCAGCCAAACAGGTAATATTTTTCTATTTTGACCCTTTTGCTACCATGTTCTTGAGTTAGTTTATTTTTACTAACACTAGGCATTTTCTTTTCTGTTGGGTACAATGGATACTGAAAGATACCAGTAGCTATTTCAATAAAATTTTATTTTCTCTGTAGTTTTTGAACCTGAAAAAAAGTTGTCAGTCAGTGGTAGGAACCATACAGAACAATTTAGGACCACAATTTATTTCTTAGTAATATGGAAAAATGTGGGATAGACAGCATCACCACCAGATCCATAACTAACTGATCAGTCTCACTCAGCGTGTAGTCCTCCTAATGGAGAGAAGCAGGGGTGAAATCAACTTACCTTCGGCTACCGGTTCACAAATGTGAGCGCACATGCCACCTCTGCACATGCACAGGACCTTCCGTGCATGCACAGTGTCAAAAACAGGATGTGAAGATGTCCTGGCAGGTGGGCGGAGTCTCCCACCGCCACCTCTACTGGTTCACCCGAATTGGATAGAACTGATTGAATTGTACCACTGGAGAGAAGCATGTAGTGGAGTATCCAAGGTTCTCTCTTAGAGCTCAATACTCTTCAACATCAATTTAGATGAGGAGAGCTCAGGGTTGAAGTGAAGGGTCCCTGGTGCTCTGCTTGTTTTCTTGCAGATGTTTCATTACCCAAAGTAGGTAACATCAGCAGGGTTGGTGGGTAAGATTTACACTTAGGCAAGAAAAACCAAATGCACAGGTACAGAATAGATGGTACCTGGCTTAACAGCAGTAACTGTGATAGGGATGTAGGTGCACCAGCAGTGTGCTACAGCTGCCGTAAAAAGCCAACACAATGCTAGGTTGCATTAACAGAGGAATAGTATCAAGATCACATGTAATTTAGTACCACTTTTTATTGCTGTGGCAATAACACACTTAGAATGCCATATTCAGTTTTGGTCACCATATTACAAAGAAATAAATTGATACTGAAGAAGGAGTGTAGAGAAGAGCAAACTTCTCAACTTATCAAGGCAAGATCCAACCTTGCCTTGGATACATTTCCTAACAGTGAGAACAATTAACTGGTGAAATGGCATGCTTCCAGAAATTATGGGGCTCTATCATTATAAGTTTTTAAAAACAGATTGGACATTTGTCTAGAGATGAGCAAGGGATTGGGACTAGAAGACCTCCAAGATCACTTCCAACTCTGTTATCCTGCATTGTAGCATTTTCAGATAGTTTCAGATTTTAGAAAGCTTTCTGCCTTAAACCAGGAGAGCTGCATCAAGAGATATCTGCAGGAAAGATTTAATAAAAGTTGCGACACAGAAATAACCACTTGAGTTATTTGCTACATTATTATTATAATTTAACCACATTATGTTATCATATAATTATAATATAGTATTATTAGGTAATTATGTTATATAATTATTATAGAATAATAGAAGCATGTGTGCTGCATATTAAAAAGAATCAGGACTTCAGTAGTGCACCCAACTCCCCTGTCAGTCCTAGTTCTAATTTTGATATTTCCAGGAAAAATTTTGAACATGCAAGTCAAGCAGGACCTTCTCTCTTTCTCTGGTAGAAGCAGCTGATTGTCCTCCCAGATCTCCGGATCCGTGACTTAATTTTCAGAATGGTCTTCAAGACACTCAAGTTTGGCACCTTTACTGCTGAGCAATACTCTTTTTGGTTTGGAACTCAACTCCAGCTGTTCCTGGCAGCTTTATCACCCAAGGACCTGCAGCTGATCCCACTCGATGTAGACTGCCAATCTCACCAGCACTTGTTAGTCCAAAATAATTTCTCTATTGATATCCATGAAACTTCAGCATCTCCTTATACTTCCCTTTCACTGCATTTGGGATCATGTGTCTCAATGTTTACTTTTGGTTTATTGTGATTTCTTTTTTTTATTGAAGAGTTTTAATAGATTTTACAAATATTTCCCCTTCCCCTTCCCTCCCTCCACCCCAACCCTGCCCCCTCTCCAACCCTCCCTCCCCGCAACCTCCCAGAGCAAAATACAGGGTACAAACATTTAACAATCATACACTAACATAAGCTAATTAACTAACTAGCATCTTACCTCCTCTTGTACTTTAACTCCCATTTTATGAACCTAACTTTAGATAAATTGTAACATTCCTTGTTCATTCATAAGCTAATTGAAATTTCTTAGTCCGATATTTATTTTGAATGTAGTCAATCCATTTTCTCCATTCTAGCTTGTATTTCTCATCTGAATAGTCCTTCAAATATGCTGAGATTTTGGCCAAGTTTACTACTTTTAACGTCCATTCTTGAATAGTAGGCAATTCTTTCTTCTTCCAGTACTGTGCCATCAACAATCTTGCTGCCG